ATTATACTGTGCATGGCTCCCCATAGTTCTGGCAAGTCCCATTCACATATACAGACGCAGGTCTTTTTTTCAGCTGGAACTTGGTGGAGTTCCACAACTCCTGGCTCAGGCCCTCTGCTCACTGCTCACAACTATCACTTGTAAACACAGAAGTCTGGCTTCTGTGTTTACAAGCTTCATTGTCTCCCAATGGCTCCCACAGATCAGATCTCCTGAGCTGCTCCCACTGAGTGCAGGATGAGGATAAGGGAGATGCAGGTGCCCGGGGTGCACTGCGGATTCCAGCACCTCCACTGGATGATCTCCCTGCAAGTGAGAGAGGCGAAGCCACCTACAGAGGTATTAAAATCAGCTGGGTGCTTCAGCATAATACACAACAAAAGTAAGACATATGGAAGATGATAGAGCTTTTAAGGAGGAGGAAGAGGAGGCAGTGGCGAGGGGTTGCTTTCAGAGGTAAGAGCTGAAGAGATGTGAAAGTGAGATGTGGTTGGGGAATGCAGAGGTAAACAAATGTGGAAGAAGGCTGAACTCTGCACTCTGTGTGTAGTGCACCCCTGAACTCTGTACTCTGTGCGTAAACCCCGAACTGCACTCTACTTAAATCACTCCTGGTATTTATTGCCCCTTTAAGACCCTCCCACTGTTAGTGAAATTTGATCACACCCACTATTTTATGCAGTTTGGAGGGTGTGGGGAGGGGTGTTTTTTTTTTTGGGGGGGGGGGGGGGGTCATGGTTGAATTCCTGCACCTTCTGAAAATAAAAAGCCCTGTACGAAAGAAATATAATATTACAATTTGCTTAGAACAGTTCTCATTTATCCAGTCTTGCCTGATCTCCAGTGAATGTATTCAATGTATGCATTTCTAACACAGGATTTAGCTGTTTGTAGCACAAAAGAGAACAGATTTTCCATGAAAGTGCATACTATTACTTGGAATTCTATTGTAACCAGGGGCGGACTGACCATTCGAGCACTAGGGCACTGCCCAAGGGTCCGAGGTCAGTAGGGGGCCCCATGAAATGCCCCTGGTACCTTTTATAGGCTTTTTTGGGTGTGCTTTGAGTGTGGGCAAGGACACAGGGGCCCCATGATCCCCTATTGCCCGGGGGCCCCATGAGTTTTCAGTCCGCCCCTGATTGTAACTATAGTGTTCATAATGAGATATTATTTGGCAGGTGTGTTGATTTATTATGTTCTTTATAAAGGTTCTCCTGTGTAAAAAGCATTTGTAATGCTTGTAATTTCATTGTAGAAACTTTGGAGGTTTGTGTCACATATGAAAATTCTGCCTATAAAATATACATTTATTAAAAGAGATACTTTAACAGGGTCACAAGGTTGTTAACTAAAAATGAGCAATGTATAATCAAAGCACGTCCAAACCTATAAATGTTAGTTGAAGGTCACTGGCAAGGAGGCAAGAGACAAGTCAGAGATCATTTGTTAGATAAGGTAGCATGTGTGACAGGTGTAAGATTGAAGCCCTAAAGGTATAATAAAGGGGGTAAAGTCAGGAAGCTGATGACAGTGTGTTATAGAAGCTGTCATAAAATTTAACTTATCATTTGCATCATATAATTCTATTGACATTACATCACTATTAGAAAGTATATATTCATAGCCTGCAGCAATGCATTGTTAGCTTTGTTTGGTTTGGAATGTAGTCCTTCAGGCCCAATTGATTTGCCGTGCTTTCCAGCTGTACTTTGTGAGTGCTTACACGTCGACAAGTAACTGAGGAGTCATGCTACAGCAAGCAGCAAAGCATGATAGATCTAGTTCATTGACTGAACACAGACCATGTAGCCTAGATCAGGCTTAGGCAACCTGCGGTCTGCCTCATCAAACATTGCCTTGAAGACAAAGCTGTGATGTTATTTATATTGTAATGGCCCATAAAATTCTTTTGAGTCATTAATATTAACTGAAAGCTAACAGAAAATGTTCAGGCTGTCCCAGACAGAAACCAGTGTTGCAGCAAACATTTAAATCTGTGCAAGTATTCTTCTTTGTGCATGTGACAGTAAGGTCTATATTCTTTTTATATTAATAGCTGGAGACATACTTCAGTGAGGCAATACCACTTTACCTTCTGCAAAGTCAGAAACACCATCAGACATAACCGAGGGATGAATAGGGTGTCAGGCAGGTGCTGTGACCGAAAGGTGAGGAGTTGGTAGGGAGGCACTGTAACTAAGGGGTGAGGTGGGTGGGAGGCATGCACTTTGGTTGGGACTCACTCTTTGTGACCAAGGGATGAGGTAGGTGGCAGGAAGGCTCTATGACTGAACGATGAGGAGCTGGTATGGAGACACCGTGACCAGGGAGTGAGATGGGTGGGAGGGATGCACTTTTATTGGGGCTCACTCTCTGTGACCAATTGATGAGGCAGGTGGCAGGAAGGCACTGTGAATAAAAGGTGAGAGGGTAGTATGGAGGCACCATGACCAGGGGGCAAGGTGGGTGGCATGGAAGCACTTTCATTGGGGAGAAATGAGGTGGCAAGTGCAGAATCTGCTGTCATCACTTTCCTCTCCTGCAGTCCTGTTTTCTTCTTTTCTTTTGTGGCCCTTGCTGCACATTTCTCTTCTCTCATTTAGCCCCCCCCCCCATGACTTCTGTTCACCCCTTAATAATCTTTCATTGATCTACAAGATGGCGGCACCTGGTTAAACCATGACCTATGGACCACTGCTGGGTTCACTTATTGTCCTCATGTCACTGAATGGACCAGGTTACAGCACAGAAGCAGCACCTCTCTAAGCAGACCAGCAAGAGCAATGTATCTCTCCAAAGCCTGGCATACTGGTCTCTCTGGCTGTGATGACCCACAAATATCCATTTTTTGAGCAGAGTTTCTGAATTTGGGTGGAATGGAGGTACAGCAAGGATCTGGACCTTCAGTAGGGCAGGATAGTGAAGCTGGACATTGGTATGACACTCACATAGGGGTGAATATGTAGGAGAGGCCGGAAACAGGAGCTGGGAGGGGGAACAGGCAATCCATAAACACTTGTGCCTGTTTCTTCATTCCTCTACCACTAATGTAAACACATACATGCATATATTTTATAAACTTTATATAATTTTAGATATTTTATAAAATCCATCTATATCTTCTTAATAAAATATATTAGACTATTGGTGCTATGTGTCCTGCAAGCTAAGTACTAAAGCATTGGAATGAAAGAAAAGCCTCTCTTTATTGTGTCTCCCAGTGATGTAATCACATCATGCATCACATCACCAGGACATAGGAAGAGGGGAGGAGTTTCATTTCTGATGTCCAATCTGGCTGCTCTTTTCTTTTTATTTACAAACTTGTACAACAGTAGCCTTACTGGTATTGAGCCCATGCTGCAGTGCCCTAATCTTCTGTTTGGCCCTTAGACTGGTGGTTGACTGCTCCTTTTGCCCTTAATGTTATGTGGCCCTATTTACAATTATTGCTTGTACAACCCTCTGTCGGAAATGCCCTGCTTCTACTATTCTTTCTGTTCCTACAGAAGTGTCTACCTGGACCCAATTTTGAGGCCAACGTTTCTCAGATCTGTTGAGAGTTTTCAGCAGCAGTGTCTTTTGCCCTCTCACAAATATCTAAAATATCTAAAAGTATTTTGTGCTCCATGTGCTAGAACCAGAGTCTTGTCATCTGATGCTAAAATGTAGCATTTCTAACTGCATCTGTGTCCACTCACCCAGGAAGCTTGGGAGACATCTGGTCTTTAGCCCCCATTTAAACCTAAGCATTTTGTATCTCAAAGCTCTAAAATGCTCAACAAGCCAAATCCCATGTTTTTTAGTTGTCTGTGTTCACATTTGAGCATTCAGGCACCTATAGCTCAACAAACAACAAAAAATCAGCGCCAAATCCAAGGTATCAGAAACAATGTTATAGTTCAATGTTATAAGTCCACATAGCACTAGGGCAAGCTCTTGAAGCTGTAGCAGGCTCTGGGTAAAAGCAAATAAAGAAAAAAGGCACCTCTAAGTGCAGTATGAAGGACGTTTATTACTCATCAATTAAAAGCCACTCACATGATGGAAGTGTAAAAGAAGCTAGATTTTAGTTAGGGGTATCAAAGTAAAGGGGGCTAAATTCAAATGCACGCCACATTTTTCAGATATTTATTTGTAAAAAATTTTGGAAACCATTTATCATTTTCCTTCCACTTAACAATTATGTGCCACTTTGTGTTGGTCTGTAACATAAAATCCCAATAAAATACATTTAAAATTTTGGTTGTAACATGGCAAAATGTGAAAAAGTTCAAGGAGTATGAATACTTTTTCAAGGCACAGCACTGCATATTGCAAAATGATGAATGACGTTCCTGTCTGTCGTTTTAACATGTGCATTCATAATAAATCATGCTCAGTTATTCAATCTAACCACCCCCACCTTTCAATGCATCACGTGCCCCTCCAATGATTGTAGAGGATTGTGCTAATGCACTACCAGGATTCCACCAACATGCTAGTTGGATAGTTTGTTGGAACATTGCAAGACAATTGAGGGGGCCAAATAACTAACATAATCCTAATTTATTTAGGCCCCTAGCCCTTTTCTGTAGTCTAGCCTATTAGAAATTTAAAAAAACTGCCATTCTCACTTATCACATAGGTGGAGGGAAGGACATGTTGTAACTGTCAAAGGCAGGATCTTTGTTTTGGTACTGTCTTGTGTCCTGATGGTGGGGTTGTATTCAACTACAGGAAACTAAAGGGAATCCAGAGCAGCTGGCAGGTAAGTAAATAACAATGTTTTGCCTACAAAAATTAGGTTATAGCACAATGTTGAGATTTTTCAATAAGAAGCTGCTGTCTAACTGCTATATTATTTCAATACATTTTCTATTAATTAACCACTTCACCCCCTTCCAGTCCAGGCCAATTTTTAGCACTATCACTCTTTGAGTGACAATTGCGCGGTCCTGCAACACTGTACCCATATGAAATTTTTATCATTTTTTTTAGAAAGAGAGAGCTTTCTTTTGGTGGTATTTGATTGCCACTGGGTTTTTCATCATTTGCTATATAAATACCGAACATAATGAAAAAATGGTATGTGGTATGGCGGTGATCAGAATGCTAGAATGGGGCATGGGGTGATCAGAAAACTAGTATGGAGTATGATGGTAATCAGGACTCTGATATGGGGTATGGCAGTGATCAGGATGCTGGTAAGGCATATGGGGTGATCAGGATGCTGGTATCAGGATGAGGGCATGGCTATGATTAGAATACTGGTATGGCATATGGGGTAATCAGGATGCTGGTATAGTGTATGACATAGATCAGGATGCTGGTATGGGGCATGGCGGTGATCAGCATGCTGGTATGGGGTATGGCAGTGATCAGGATGCTGTTATGAGGTATGGCGGTAATAAGGGCGCTGGTATGGGGTATGGCTGTGATCAGGATGCTGGTATAGTGTATGACATAGATCAGGATGCTGGTATAGTGTATGACATAGATCAGGATGCTGGCATGGGGCATGGCCGTGATCAGCATGCTGGTATGGGGTATGGCAGTGATCAGGATGCTGTTATGAGGTATGGCGGTAATAAGGGCGCTGGTATGAGGTATGGCTGTGATCAGGATGCTGGTATGGGGTATGGCAGTGATCAGGATGCTGTTATGAGGTATGGCGGTAATAAGGGCGCTGGTATGAGGTATGGCTGTGATCAGGATGCTGGTATAGTGTATGACATAGATCAGGATGCTGGCATGGGACATGGCTGTGATCAGCATGCTGGTATGGCAGTGATCAGGATGCTGTTATGAGGTATGGCGGTAATAAGGGCGCTGGTATGGGGTATGGCGGTGATCAGGATGCTAGTATGGCATATGACGGTGATCAGGGCGCTGGTATCAGTAATTTTTACAACTGTAAATATTAGGGGCTGATAATTTGTCATGCTGGGTTGACTTTTGTAAATGTAGACCAGTCAAATTACTTGTTATGGGTATTGTCAGTGTTTCCATATTGTGTTTATAGTATTTGAATATTGATTGTCTTAGTTTTTAATGTCATTTTTCAGGTTGTCAGTAAAAAATGTGCAATGTCAGTAAATTTTCCATGTCTTGTCAGTGAAAAATGCTGGTTGGCAACAGTGCTTCCATGTAAAAATTATAGCTGCCTGGCTTTGTTTGGCTTCAATACTGTCTAAGGCCTCATGTACACATGAACTCCCCTAGACGTTTAGCACTCCTGGCAGCAGAAAAACGCTAAACACAGAAAAAAACGTGTGTAAACGCTGTACAGCGTTTAGCCACGTTTAGCCATGTTTATTGCTTGGACATTTATTTATTCACTTAATAATAGAATGTGAAAGTAATTATATGCAGAGATCAGGGTCTAAACATTTCTCCTGTAAACGTTATACAGATACCAGCCACTCCTGTGGTCTAGTGCTTTCAGAAGGAGGCCTTTGCTAAACTTCTCTAATGGCGTGGAAACAATTTGACTATTGATTTACAGCTTGTGAACCATTTTTTTCTTCACAACTGTACTTAGTCACTGTCTATAAAAAGGGCACTGGTAGAAAATGAAGAATAGGAGTGGCGTTGGAACGTCTTGCCAAACTGAAAGTTACCTATAACCTTTAAATTCAGTCTTTGTTACACTTATTTCTGTGACAACATGTGACGTAGCCATTGGCGTACATCTTGGCTTGAACATACTTTTTTGTTAGTGTGGCTTTTCTTTAACATTTTATTATGGTAGTGATATATGTCTATGTGGAAATTTCCCACGTCCCTGCCTAGAGTAATTCTACAATTATCCCTTGGTGTTTTTTGTTGACATAAGTAAATGGTACACTGGTTCCTTAGCTATTTTAAAAGGCCAAAGGAAAGTTCAAGTTTTACGTACATATGCAAGATCATATCACTCTTTATCACCAAGTGAATGTAGCCATTTGAGCTCTCTAAATAAAGCTGCACTTTTTAAACACACCAACGAGTTTATATTGCAAAAAAAAAAAGAAAACTGTAATTACCACAAATATTAATACATTAAACAAAATTAAAGATGTTAAAGCCTAACTTTTAAAGCAGAACTCCAGCTAAAAATAGTAAGATAAAAAAAATGAATAGCCTTATAAAAGATAAAAAAAAATCAACAACAGATTTTGCTGTAATATTTAACATCAATTCAGAGATTTCCCAAGCAGGACATTTTTTTTATGCTGCTAGTCCTAGGTCTGATGGGCAGCATTATTCAACCCACTTCCTTTGAGCCCAGGTTGTACTGGACCTGCAGCAGCCTTTGACTGGAGATTGGAAAGAGAAGTAGCACAGTGATGAGCTCATCTCTTTGTTACTCTGCTTTATTTACATCAGAAGACTCAGAATTTTTCTTGTCAGCAAATAAACTAATTAACTTCCTCTCACACCCAGCCTGTTGTACAGGAACTGCAAGAAGCTGATACCAGAACAAATTCAGGTATTCATATTGCTTGCATTTAAAAATATATTTACTGATGCATAAATGATTACAGAGTTGCATTAATGTATGTATTGTATATCTTCATAGGCTTTATCTTTAAGGACAATTGCAATTTAAATAAAAAGTGCATTAGTCCATAGTAAGCTAAAATAACCTTGAAACCTACAACTGATTACTTACCTCAACATGACTGCCACAGCCAACTTTGTTATTTACTACATTTCTTTTTCAACAGTGATGCACCCGTAAGCCGTTTAAAATTAGTTAGTTCAGTGCTGGGTGGGAAGGTTGGGGTTAACTTAGTTCCCTGGTTTTTAATTTGGGTCCAACCCACTGTCCCTATGAATATAAAAAAGGACCATGGTTCAGAGCGGAGAGCATGGGGGGTGGGGGGCTGGGGAGAGAAGAGAGCCCTAGAAGAATACTTACTGGTAACCACAATCCCTCTGTAAGAGTTGAGAGGTCCTGCCGCAAGTCCATTGGCCCTGAAGATTTGAGAGCCACACACCTGGGGTTTTCCCCCCGAAGATACCAACCACTGGAGCCTGCCACCTATGGACTGCTATAGACATGGACTATACCTTTGCAGGTATGCCGGGGCAGCACATAGCATTAGAAGTAGGGACCTAGGAAAAGGATTAGCTTTGTACTGACTTTATTCAATAAAGCAAAAACTTTGCCTTCTGCCTGGTCTGAAGTAATTTAACCTCCTTGGCGGTAAAGCTCGGGGTAACATTTCAGTACCAAAAGCGGTAACCCCGAGCTACACTCGGGCTTACCCTGCGGCACTGCTCCAGCACTTCACTTACCTTACCCTGCGCTCCCACGATGTGTCCCCTGCAGCGTCCCCGGCCATCTCCTCCGTCCGGCTTCTGTGTCCTGTCCCTGTGACGTGGGCGCCGCCGCCGGCGGCGGGAAATTTTTTACATAGCACTTTATTCAATAAAGCATTAAAACTTTGCCTTCTGCCTGGTCTGAAGTAATTTAAAGGAGTGTCTTGCACGTAACCAGTGCATTGCTACAGTTTTGGGTCACTAACAAATTGGGGGTACCGCTTTCATGAAGCACGTAACCAGTGCATGCTTTTTGGGTCAAGGGGTATGAAGCGTCTGCATCCTAGTGCAAATTATACATGTGGTTGCCACAAGCAATGGGGGTGCAGTCAGCAAGCAGTCTGTCAGAAACATGTACCTGTGGGACAGCCTCTAGCCACAAGGGAGATGTTGTCGGCACTCCCTATGTCGCATTCTGTTTCCCTTAGCAGCCAGAGCAGAACTGTATTGCAGAGGTCCCCATCCTGTACAGAGGTACGGAAGTTCAACAGGTAATGTCAAGTGAATGATGGGTTCCATGCTGCTACTGGGACCGGTAGTAGAAAACACTGGACAGGTGGCTGTGGTCAGTGTTTGGCACGACCCACCTAATTGCAAGCTATAGTGGGAAGATCTACATTTACATGGGGACCTGAGAGTAACTGGAGAAGAGTTGTGTGTGAGTGTTCATGGTGTACATTCATCTCTAAGAGTAGAGGCTTGCCTTAAGGTTGAGTATTCTGCTATGGTAGCCTTGTTCCAGGGCTTTGTTGAAATGGCACTAGGGTAAAGGTACCTCTGAAGTGTGAAGTAGAGTGACCCTGTCTCAGGTGACCAGCGTACCCAAGAAGAACCCACCCCGGAGTAGGCCCCCTATGTAACCCACACTTGGCACTCAAGGAAGGAAACATGGAGGAGGTACCAGCTGCTTGTCCTACACACCCATCCAGTGAGCCCCCTTAGACTTGAACTGCTAATCTGGTAGTATATCTTTGCAAGTGTATGAGGTGTTAGAGGAACTAATGGGATGGGATAATGTAGTTTTTCATAACAATTAGCTGTGTCAGTTGTTAGAGATTCTGTATATAGCTCTACAGAACAGAAAGTGCACAGTCCACACAGTTTATCTGCTGCTTCTCTGCAAACAGGAAACTTTATTATAGAGAAAAGATCATAGACCATAGAGCTACAAAGCTACAAACATATAAACACTGCCATATACTGGTTGAAATAAATGTCTGTACTGAATACTGACACTGATGTAGCTGTACGAAAATACATGAACATTGCATTCCAACACCACCACTCAACAACTACTTCTTAGATTAGTCCCATCTTGGATGGGAGAAACAGGGTTTTAGTTTGCACACCTTTGCAAATACATGCATAAACTGCAGAGCCTCTTCATGGCACCCCAGTATTCTGCAGTTCTAACTAATTTTGAGAGCCTCCATAGTAGAAGCACATGTATTTTGAGAGCCTCCACAGTAGATGCACATGTATAATATAATTGGACACCCGGCATATAGCACAATGGCAGCCAAGGTGTCCAGTGTGTCCCCTCACCAATATACCAGTAGTAAAAAACAAACGGCAACTGCACCAATCTGGCCTTTGCAGAAATAAGTACATGGAACATACAGGTATTTTTCTGGTGACACTCTGGGAAATAGGACAGTCAAGAAAGCCGTCTCCTATTCCTTCTGATTCCATTATTTGCCCATTAGCTGTGGTGATTTTTTCTGTTGTACCCTGGTCAAGGTGAATAAAGAAATTTCTGTCATTTGCCATTAGATGTGTAGTTTCTGAATCAACACACCATGCCTACAAAGATGAGGTGCAACTTTTGGATTGAAAAACATATTCATTATCTGCAGAAAAATAATTTTTTTCTTCACAGCTTTGGCCTTTTGTAGTTTAGTTTGTCTTTGCATTCTAGCTTCCTAGATTATACAATCTGCTTTTAAATGGCCTTGTTTCTTGAGCACAAAATATTTGTGTGTTTCTTGTTACGTGTTACCGGTTTTATTCCTATGTTTCGTCTTTAAAGCAGACTCTGCAATAGAAACAGTTAATCATCTGGACGTGCATTAAGTGAAGTGACGAGTGTTTCATAACTTTCTGGTAAACTAATAAGTAATAGTGCTGGGACATGAAAATCTTTCATTTCTTCTCCTATACCTCTCAAGCATTCAACCATTTCTAGGGTGTGTCTTATGTAATCCTGCATATCCTGGTCTTTCATCACCTTGGTTTGGTATAGCTTTCTAATCAATCCAGTTTATTGCTGAGATTAGCTCTTTCGTATACCTTTTTTAATCCTTCCCACATTTCTTTAGCAGTTTTACACTTACATATATGTATGATTTGATCATCTTCTATGCTAACACAATTATGCTCTGAGCTTTATGATTTTTCTCCATTCACTCATCTGAAGGGTGTTTTGACCTGACTTCATTTACAAATTTCCACATACCTTCTCTTATTAGCAGTATTTTCATCTTGAATTTCCAAGATTGGTAATTCTAGTTTGTCAGAATTGCAAATGAAAGCTTCTTTGCAGCTGTGTTGCTGGCCATTTTCTTTTATTCTGTTGCAGTCTTTTTTCTGTTGCTGTATCTTGCACTTGTTTGCTGTAGCAAGCTATGTCTGGGTGTCTGACTCATGACCTGTTAGAGTGTATGTATATAGCCCTACAGAACAGACAGTGC